AGAAAGAAAGAAAGAAAGAAAGAAAGAAAGAAAGAAAGAAAGAAAGAAAGAGAAAGATCTTTTAAAGTTTGGATTATGCATACATTTCTCTTCTGTTCTTTCCCACATCATGCTTGTGGGGTGTGCAACTACCAGTTTGCTTTTGAGTTGTTTATGTTTTGGCAACTTTTTTTCCCCAGATACAGTTATAAAATAAAAAGTAAACCTTATTTTGAGGGAACCTCAATTTATTCTAAAACAGGTCTTCAATGAGAAGGGAATAATTTGGAAGTAAAATCTCTGCTCAGATGTTCAAATCTGACAGCATTAACAGTAACATTACATTTATTACTTTTTGGAAACCATCAGGGCCAAAACTGTTGACCTTGACATGTGAAATCTAATCATGAACTTCAAAATGAACTTTCAGCAAGATTTAGGATACTTCCTTAGAAATATATGTCAACCTCAATTTTTCAAAAAGGAAAGGAATTTCTGTAAGAAATTGAAATTTCAGATATGGGATTTTTTAACTCCAACTCTACAAAATATTAGGTAATCTGCATCAGAGTGTTAAAAATTCTGAATAGAAAACCCCAGAATTTTTCCATGGTTCTTTAGGGTTCTTGCCTGCATTGAGCAGGAATTGAACTCCATTCCTGAAAAGCTATCCTCTAACTCAAAATTTAAAATCTAGCACCATTGAGAAGTTGGTTTGGTTTCCTCAAGATCAGAGGTCTCCAAACTTGGCAACTTTAAGACTTGTGGACTTCAGCTCCCTGGGAGTTGAAGTTCGTAAGTCTTAAAGTTGCTCAAGTTTGGAGACCCCTGCTCAAGACCTTCAGAGACAATGCAACTCTGGAGCAATACAAGACCTGTGTGACACTTACCTGGAGAACTTGGGTCTTGCAGATAAGAGCTTAACTTTCCAACTCCTCCTAAGCGGGGAACGTCTGAAGTGATCATGCTCTTCTCCTTCTCACTGCTCAATCCAAGGACTTGGAGTCCTCAATCAACTCAGGACTCTGGAACTTAAGCAATTGAAAAATGCATCATCAAAGTCAGTGACGACACTTGATGATTATGTGGGATGGTTGGTTGTCCAAGCATCCGTCACTGGAGATGGCATGACCTTGACTTCTTCCCAAATATTCTGATGGTGCCTAAGGAAAGCAGAAGGGCTACTCTTTTCTCAGTTCAAATGACGAGGGTGCCTCCGGTTTTCCCTGATGCTTACAAACAACACAACCTTCCTTTAATGGCTCTTTCAAAGCCCACAGCACTGTTTTCTGTGGGAGCTTTGGCCAAGGTCCCACACCTCCCTGAACGCTTCTCTGTCACATCAGGCAGCATGTGGTCATCCCATGACTCATCATCAGCCCACAGCTTTGCTTGGAGACAGCTGTCCTTTGGGGCAATTAGAAAGGGTTCGTGGAGGAGAGGAAGCAGGAGAGAGATCCAAATAACAAATTGTGCTTCTCCAATGCTTCCCTTTGAGTATCTATGAGAAAACCATGGGGAAGGTTATCCAGGAGAAGACATACATTCTTTGTGTCCCTTCTAAGGAAACAGATGAAACATAGTTTTCAGGACAGAAACATTCTCCTTCCGGCTTCTTCATGTCCACATTATTTCATCAATAACCACCTTTACCCTTCAGTAATGACTGACACAATCACACCTACAATAACAAGGGCCACTGTCCTGCTGTTCTTTGGCCTAGAGCAGCCTTGCCCGGTCTCGGGCCTTGGATTGCAACTCCCCTGGCCCTTGTCATGATGAGAGTCTGTATAACACAACTGACTAGCACCAGATTGTGGATCGTTCTCCTAGGTGGAGCAAGGGTGAGGTAGAAAGCTTTAGGACCTCACATGGTTGTGCTGAGGGGAAATTTTCTCTTTCCTGCAGCTCTGTGCTTCTTTTTCACACAAATGTTCAAAGCAAAATGGGGAACTGTGTCGCTCAGCAGGGTCTACGACAATTCGCTGCGGCCAACTCACCACAGGATAATCCGCCAAGGCCAATTCAGCACGAGACAACTTGCCACAGGACAAAAATTACATAATATTGAAGAAATGGCGGAATAGAATCATCAAAGAGAGGATGCAAAAGGAAGGACTTTTTAAAAAAAATTATTTTAAATAATTAAATTGAATGGTTACATTGTCCTGTGGCAAGTTGGCTATAAAGAGTTGACTGAGGTGAGGTGGCTACAGTGAATTGGCCACAGCGAATTGTCCCATTCCATGCACAGTATGTGGTGGGATTCAAATAACTTAACTACTGGTTCTCTGCCCTAATGATTTCTTCCAACAACCAGTTCACCAAACTGCTCAGAAAGTTAACAACCGGTTCTCCAGAACTGGTGAGAACTGGCTGCATCCCACCACTGTGTTGCCCCCATGTCACCTATGAAAATAGCAAGACTGTAGTATGTAAGCTGGCTTGATCGAGAGCAAACGAGAAAGAACAACCCTAGTTACTTTGGCATTGATTCCAAATGAAGTCAATCATTGTTCTGAAATACATCTGAAAAGTACCAGCTCACAGCTAAGGTGGCCCTTTCATTAACAACAAAATTCAAGTTCTTTTTCTTTCCTGTAGAACCATTGTGTTGTGGTTACTCTCTTAATATAGCTGGGCTAGTATCTGATGCACATTTTCCTGGAGTGGATTTCCTTGGACTCTCTTAAATGTGTTGCTGATTGGCCTGCAATTTTTTTTACTACTTGATGATGACCCAAAAGTCCTAAAAAGTCCTCACAGATGCACACAAAACACAACAACCACCCACTTATATAACCGGCCAAATAAGAGCGCAGCCTGAATACAGCCATGAGACAGAATTCCACTCATCAGAAATTGGTGATAAAATCTCCCTTGCTGACGAGACAAGAAAAAAGCAGAATTTGATTGGCCTTTGGTATCACGAGTTTGTTTGTTTTGTTTGATTGGGGTTTTTCTTTTTTTTGTCCCATTCCAATCTCTTGACTCTTGGCAGCTACAGCGTCACAATGAAAATGGCAGAATTTAAGCAATTTAAAATCCAAATCATGAAAGGAAAGGAAAATTTATCCAGGGGCAGAAGTAATAAGAACAAAAGGAGGCACTGGTGATGTTTTAAAAAAATCTCTATAATAGTTTCTTAAAGCTCCTGGGCAGGGCAGCTCGATCACCTTGGGGAACCCATCCCTTAAGGAGTGCCTTCTAGCTCCCTGGGCATCCTGGGAATATGGGACAATAAGAAGCCCCTCCCTCCATATCCGAACAACCAGGCTGAATCTGGTTGAGGTACCAGGGGCCAAACTGCAGAGGGTTTCACAAGTTATACTTTCTCTCCAAAATGAAAAGTCCAGGGTTGACAATGCAATCAGAGAATCAACTCCCTTATCATCAAGGGGCAGGCCCAGAAAAAGACCCAGCCTCATGATCAGTCAAGCTCCTCTTTGTCTTTCCCCATCAGTGCTTCTGGCACTGTTCCTGCTACTTCATTTCCCAGAGCAGGGGTCTCCAACCTTGGCAACTTTAAGATTTGTGGACTTCAACTCCCAGAATTCCTCAGCCAGCTTTGAGGAATTCTGGGAGTTGAAGTCCACAAGTCTTAAAGCTGCCAAGGTTGGAGACCCCTGTCCCAGAGGGTCTCAGTTAACTAGGGAACCAAAACACGGCCACATTGGGGTAATAGAGGTAGTTCTTGACCCAGTTCGAGCAGCTGAGACCCAGAATTTCCATCACTAAGCGATGAAATCCTAAAGCACCACCACATCACTTAGCAACTGTGCTCCTGCAGCCCAGGTTGCTGATTCTGACAGTTGTTAGGCAAGGTAATTTCCTGTAATCAAAACCAATGGGGAAGCTGGAGGGAAGTTGCAGGTTCCAGGCCCGAGAGGAGGTAAGTGGCTACAGCAAGAAGTGTGGCATGGGAAGCATTCACAAGGCTGGTTGCAGGTGAAATAACACACCTGGTTATTTCAGTTGAAAAGGAAACGAGAAAAGAGAGATAATGTGAGATATTTCATCCCTCTTTATCCCAAATGCCAAGTTAATGTCAGGCATCAAAGACTAGGTCAATCTGAACGGATTCATTGCTAAAAGCCTGGGCGCAGGGATCTTCTCAGCTAACTGTCCGTGCTTGGTTAGCGTTAGATAAGGATCAGCATTACTCAAGGGGGAGTTTGGACTTAGCTTGTTTGTGGCTACATAACAATTCTAGGCTGGTCCCTCTTTTCACCCCTTCCCCCTAGCTCTGCCAGTCAAGGGGGGGGGAAGAAATACCTTAAGGAGTGACTAGGCAGGGAAGAACGCAGTCAGAGATGTTGCGCATGTGCGATAAGGACTGACTGGGCAGGGAGGGGTGGGTGGAGAGGGACGGGGCCAGCCAGGGGCACGATTTGCCGGTTCTTGAACTGCGCAGAATCATAACAACCGATTCTGTAGAACCAGTCCGAACCAGTAGAATCCCACCCCCTGCCCCAGAGTTAAGCCCCCACTGAATCAGGAACATCCTCTTTCTGTGAACCACCCACAGCTTTTCTCAACCTTGGGACTTGAAGTCCACACCTCTTCAAGTTGGCAAGGTTGAGGAACATTGCAGTCTTCTGCATCTCCAAGGAGCATATCTGAGGCCCTATCACCACCTCTCGTCTCTGTATTACAGTTCATGACTCAGAAATTAAAAGAACCTTTGGGATTAGAGTGGAAGAAAAACCAGGGGCGGCATGAAAGAGGCCACTTTCTGAGAGCTGAATTTCCAAGCTCTTTCATGGGGATGCTGGGAAGTCAACCTTTCATTGTTGACCTGTGAAAATCAGTGGAACTCGAGGGCCGCTCTTGGTATTTGGATGCAATGCTGGGAATTAGGATAGATAATAAATCAGATTTCATTTTATTGGCCTATTTCAGTTTAATTCACCTGGAATGTGGTTAGTGTGGCTTCATCTTTTTTTTCCCCTTCCATTGCATTCAAATCTAACCAACCGTGAGCAATCTCTTGGCGGCACATCTGGCCAGA